CTAATAGAAGTTGTCTTCCTCGGTCGTAAAGAAACCATTGCAAGTATTTCCTACTTCTTTCATATCTCATTTTCAGTTTCCAATTATATAGCATACAGTATTGTATCGACGTCATAATTCTGGTTTTCGTGTCAACGTCTAAAGTTTCCTGTTTTCGAAAGACATGATATTTTATCTTTTCCCTTACTGTTAACAAAGAAGTTTTATGAACTCATGGGCCAGGTACGTTCATTTAGTGGCTGATGGGGTGTCTCCTCTTGTGATGTCTGGCAAAATCCATCCGTCAGTATGTCCAACCACATTTCTCGCCCATAAATTAACTCCCCTTCGGTTAAGCTCACATTGTGCTTCTTCCATATTTGTATACTTGCTTGGAGTACGGATAGTTCAACCACAAATGCCTGATGGTCTCTTTTGCCCACTGACACCTTTAACATTTCTCAGAGACTTCCATTCCTTTTGCCATAAACCAAATTTTTGATGTTGTATGTTGACTCTAACAACATTCATAACAAGTTAAGGGTTTTCCTTTTTTTTTTTTTTTTTTTTTAAGAAAGTTTAAAATTTGAAGTACTAAGTAAGACAAGGTCATCGACCTTCTAATTTCACTCTGATACATTCAGTCATCACCCAACTTTGGTTTGCGCTAGTAGAAATCGAGTCCAACATCTCTTTATCGAAAAAAAACTTCCCCAAAGTAAATCTTGAAGCTCGCACATTTCAATAAGAAAAAGGTGGTTTGAGAATGATTTTGTCTAAACATCTGGTATAAACGACGACCATAATAAAGAACCGCATGTTAACTGTCCACATACCTACTCAACTCCCTCAAATGCCTATTTAACTCCTAGAAAACATTAGAGTTACATGTTTGTGTAATCAACTCCTTCTAGTCTCTATGCTTCGACAGACTATTTATTTCAGCAACCAAGTTGTCAAAGTAAGACTCCTAATAGTTGATACTAAGGTCAATAGACCTCGTCTTCCATATTTGCAAAAAAATCATTATAAGTTTTTCCTACTTCTTCCACAATGTCATCTCGTTTTTTTGTTTCCAGTTACTTGGCATATTGTGTCTTATCGAAGTTATGATTCTGGTTTTCATGAGAACGTCAAGGGTTGCCTCTTCTCGAAAGACGTGATATTTTTCATCTTCCCTTGTTGTTAACAAAATAATTTTTCTGAACACCTCGGTCAGATATGTCCAGTTAGTGGCAGATGGGGTGTCCCCACCCGTGATGCCTGACAAAATACATTCGTCAGATAGTCCAACCACATTTCCTTCCCTGAAGTGAATTCCCCTTCAACAGAAAAATTCCCGCAATAAATTAAAGTTGGAAAAACATTCTATAAAAAAAAATCCGTCATATTTATAAATTACCATTCCCATGTTTGTCAAATTCTAAAATTTCGAGTTTTATTTGATAAGTTCCCCTCTAAATATGAGTTTTTCTTTCCAACTACATCTATGTGTTCAAGATGGAATGGAAGTCTGGACGAGTTTATGAAATGTTTTAATTAAACTTTTATTTTACTACAACAAATATTTTCTAATTTAGATTGGATTAACCTATT